TCAAATATTCACTGCGTAATTGTATTACGCAGCATCCAGAAATGAGTTTCAATTATACAATATATTATAGATAACAGATGAGCCCACCCTAACACGTTTTCTTCCTCGCACAACTTTCTTGTGGAATCAACTACCACCAGAGATTTTTTCGGACCGATACGACTTAGGGACCTTCAAGAAAAGAACCTATTCCTTTTTAAAAGGCCGGCAAACGCATCTGCAATTCCTCTGTTGTTGCAGTTGTTCACGGGCGGCGGTAGGCACTTACCATCAGGCGAGCCGCATGCTCGTTTGCCTCCTCTCCTAATGAAGTTCTTATACGTTAGAGGATGTTTTTGGAGGTATATAAGCGGCACTGATGATACGGCACTGGTGCTTTGAGGATTGCTTACTAGGAACTTCGATGATGACATGTTCGGTAAGGTTATGCAATAATTAAATATAAATATTTAAAAAAATTAACACGAGTCAAAGACACATTTAACTCAGATGACCTGACCTTGCGTACACAATACCGCAATTAGGACACCACAGCCATAAAGTTTATTCGTGCTGATACGATCACGATTGCATCTGTACACAATGTAGCGGTGATCGATAACTTATTTTTGTTAATTTCCGAAGTCTCTGTTTATAATGAGGGGTGACATATTTATATAATACTCATAAATTTTTAATTTATTTAAAATATTACAACAGACAAATAACACAATATCGCAGTTAATAAAATTTTTTTTTTTTTTTTTTTGAAATGAAATGTATTTATTTAACCAAAAAAACATTACATAATTAAGCAATACACTGGTTTCTGCACTAAGCTCTAGGCTTGTATCGCAGGAACCAAGAACCTTGACTGACACCGTTTACACCGATAAATACATAGAACTCCGATTAAATTATAATAAAGCGAAAAATAAATCTTTTTTTTTCTCTTTTTTTTTCTTTTTTTTAATATATATAAATTAATGCATGAAAAAAAAAAAAAAGCTAATTTACTCTAGGAGTGCTTGTGTGCGTGCGAACGTGTGTGTGTGCGTGCGTGTGTGTGTGTGGTGTGTGTGTCTGTGTGAGTGTGTTTGTGTGTGGGGGGGGGGGATCGTGATTGCGCGTGTGTGTGAGTGAGTGTAAGTCTACGCGTGTGCATGTATAGGGTCAACTAAGAAAGGAAAGTAAGTTTTCCGTTTCCTGATAAGAAGCATGTAGCAGCCAGGTTGTTATTTTGTGTTTGACTTTACTTGTGGGCAAAGACCTCAAATCAGGGAAGAGACAGCAGAATTTGTTGTAAATGCTAGGCAGAAGAAATGGTGAGTGGCGTTTGATAAAGCTACTGTGTGAGTTGGGAATCGGCACTCGAAAGATCCGACGTTGGCACAGGCTAAGGTAATTCGGGGAATTTATTATTTTTCTGTGGGTTAGTATTACTGCCTTTAAAATGTAGATTTGGCGAACCCGTAGTACCTTACATTCCTTGTACAGTTCGTCAGTAGGAAATCTAAAGTTTTTAGACAGCATTACTTTTAGTACTGCTCGCTGGGCCCTCTCGACTTCAAGCATTTTTGATTTGATAGCTCCACCCCAAGCCAGCGTGCAGTAGTATAGAAGGGATTGGGTTAGTGCTTTGTAAACCATTTTCATTGTTTCTTTAGTAGCACAACGTCGTAAAGCTTTCATTATGTAAATGGTTTTCCTAACACTACCCGACAAGCGGTTTAGATGGTTTTTAAATGATAGCTTATCATCAATGATCACTCCTAGATACCTGATGTTATCTGTGTTGCTGATTATATTACATCCGCAAGAGGGTACTTCAGATACACAAGTGTGAATTACTAAGTTTACCAGCGAAAATGGTTTTAATGCGAGAGTTTTGTGAAAAGCTATGAACTTAGTTTTTTTATAGTTTAGAGTTAGTAAATTGGAACTTAACCATTTATTCAACACTACCATGCCTTTTTGAGCCGTCTCGAGTACGCTGTCCCAACTTAAATCATTAAATATAATGGCTGTATCATCCGCATAGCATATGACGTCTGCTCTTTGTATGTGTAATTCTAGGATGTCATTAATGTAAATGCAGAATAGGATTGGACCAAGAATACTTCCTTGAGGAACTCCAATACTGATTTTTAATTGCTTACTTGTATGTGAGCCCACTCTTATGCATTGGCGCCGATTTAAGAGATAGCTACGAAACCAAGCCAACGCCACTCCTCTAATTCCTTTTGTTTCAAGCTTCCGCAGCAGAATAGGGACCGAGACGGTGTCGAAGGCCCTAGCAAGATCTAGGAAGATACCTAAACAGCTGCGTTTATTGTCCAAATGTCTAGACACAGTATCTGTCAGTAGAACTACCGCATCCTCCGTGATAATGATTGAAAGATTTGTAATTCAAGGTGTGACAATATATGGCAACATAGAGGCCAAGACAATTACATAATAAACCTAGGCGCAACGTACACTATAAATAGTGATATATTTTTCACAAAATAAATAGTTCAACATAGTGTAACATATGATATATATATACGAACCCAGACATACTTGTATTAGTGCATAGTGGCGAGATCTGATGTTTTTTTCGAAATAATTGTTTTTCAACAAGATGCTCGTTAGCTCGTGCGTTAGCTAACTAGCTGGTCGTTATTAAAAGTTTTCACCTTACGAAAAGCCGCAACTAGGTTGTCCCGAAGGATGCGTGATAAATGTTTTACAATAACATTCTTCGACTTATTTGTTTGATGGTGTGCATTGGGAACTCTATGGATTGACATGATATCTTTCTAATGGCCAGTTGAACATAATGGGATCCATTAGATGCCATTATGTTCAACAAGATTAACTGCAAGTTTCAGGAATGTTACAAGATTTCGACGTTGCATTGTCTGGCTTGTTGCTCGAGGTAATCGATTTTAGTGGATCGATGCTAATGGATAGGCTGGATTGTTCGGTAGATTGACGTGTTATGTCATCCAATTTTTTTTGAGATCATCCTTTGCCCTGGAATGAAACTGCATGGATGTTTGTAATCCTGAGAGGTCATGGGAAATATTTGTAGTTTATTGCTTAAGAAGCTTATGTTCAGCACGAAGGGTGCATATCTCCTTCCTGATTCCAGTCAAAGACAATTTTTAATACGTTATTAAATTTAGTTATACTCGCCTCATATTCTCCTTGAATATAGTAAGTGTATTTATTGTTCATGTCGCTTCGCCATCTCTCTAAGGCCTAATGAAGTTCCTGTGTAAATGTATGGGAAGGAGCACCCGTCCCTAGGGCAACACAGTCTCGGACTGAGGTAGCTCATGTACTAGGGGTACAGAGATTGTACGGTGAGACACGTGCTTGTCCCACGATTTCATATGGCATATTCCTGCAATCATCCAAATGTATTAGCGTGGTTCGCACAGGCGTAAGGTAGTTGGATGTGTAACATTATTGCACGAGGGACATTTCCAGGCTCGCTTAAATTCTTCTGTCGAAGAATATTGTTGCGGTTTAATGTTTAGGCATCCAATATGGTAGTTTCTTTCGCAAGTAGACAATTCAGCAGTCGCGCCTCATGTTATTATTGTACACTCCATACAGCGCCACCTTTGTAGATTAATAATATAACGTAGGGCGCAGGAACTCGATCAATGTAAATATAAAGATTGTAATTTGCAGTACAGATGTTAGAGGTCAGTAATTTGTCCTCAGTATAATTTATTTCTATTCTATCTGTTAATGACAATAATTTGTCATAAACAGATAGATGACGTTATTTATAATCTTGTAGATGAGATCAACGGTATTGATACAAAAACGAAAGTGAAAGATTTTACTGCAACCGTCAAATTTCACACGATGAAGCGTTTTTCGTAATTTACTTAATGTATATAGTAATTTATTGTTGCACTTAGGTTTAAATGTTGTTAACACTGAACTTTATTATTTAATGTTATTTATATTGCCAACAAACTGTTTTGCACCGGATTGATAACGTTATTTCCTGCACTTTTCGTGAATAAATTGCTCTGGTGTTGCGAATGTTCATGGGCGGCGGTAGTCACTTAACATCAGGTGAACGGTGTGGCCGTGAAGGAAAAGGGGAGATCTCCCGCCGGGCAAGGTGTTCTGCCAGGGGAGCGGCCCACACTCCGAGTGATAGTTCGGAGAAGTTCTATATATACTGTCTATGATTCGGAATGTTGATAGCGTGATTTAGGCTTCGGTGTATTTCGCTTGTGGCACGACGACAGCGCCGCTACAACGGTATGCTCATTTGCCCCCTCTTCTATAAAATAAAAATAGTTTTGTCAAGCACAAAATAGCAGGATATGCTTTGAAAATGTATCGTAAGGAGAGCAGTAATACTATGGTGCACAAACTACTCGTGCAGCATGGTGACAGTGGGCAAACCTTTAATGGTGTAAATGACAGCTGACACATTGGAAATACCGACAACATACACCTTATAAACATTGGGTAGCCAATCATGATTTGAAAAAAAAATAATATACAAGATATTTTTCATTATTTTACTAAACTCCTTGACATATATTTGTGTATTGATTTAACTCATTATGAGAAATAAAGAAATCTTTCGGTTCTTAAAAATTAATATATTTTAAAATATATAAAAATATTATTAGGCACGTGAAGTTTATTGGTTTTAGGGTCTGTAATGAAGTTAATGTACCTATATCTTCTGTTATTTACTTATGAACGTCAGTTTTATGAGGATAAACATTCAAACAATATAAGCGAATTAGAATGACCGTTGAAATGTTCATCTTAGCGTAACGTTACAAAATATCCAATCGAAAAGCTTTTACTTGTGTTTTACTCATAAAAAAAACTTTGCGATGGGCGTTTATACTGAGCGATGTTTAAGGCAAATACATTTTTATATCTAGCAAATAAACCGTTCACTTTTAAAGTAGTTTTATGTCACAATTCAGACTAAAGTTTAATACTCTTATCCAGGGAAATAAAGAACGAACATTTTTATGATTGGGCAGGTACGAGATGCTGATCGGATACCCGCCATTCTGCTCGGAGTCCCCGCAGGAGACGTACCGCAAGGTGATGTCATGGCGCGAGTCGCTCACCTTCCCGCCCGAGATCCCCATCAGCGAGGAGGCGCGAGAGACCATCCTGCGCTTCTGCTCGGAGCCCGACCGCAGGTCTCACTATTATTTACTTTGTTCTCTCTGCATCTACTTTATGAGGGTTGCCAAGTGTATTGAGTCCTGAAAGATTTCAAACCTGGTCTGGAAGGAATCGCTTTTCGCGATAAGACCTCCCATTGCACGACTACATAGACATGCGTTTTATTAGCCTCAATGCATTTACTCACATGGTATACATTTAGGAGTCACAAACAAAAACATACAATTGATTAAAACTACTTTTACGGATTTTATCGCGTTTAATTTAATAAATCATTATGAAAAACATACAAGATGAGGGAAACATTAATAAAAATAAATCTCATCGAGAAAATTACTTTCCGTCAGTGATGTGGCGCCAAAAAGGATTTCAACTCAGCATATGCCGCCGCTACTGCAGGAGCACTGATTTCAGCGGAGTTCCTATAGTATTGGTTTTAGTGTTGCGCCCGCGTCGCTGTCAATGCTAACTTTCTACTTGAAAATAACGAATCAACAATTAACCAGAACTATGTTATAATGTTAAATATTGTGTCAAGGACACATTGTCAATTTGTACAGTTCTATAACTCAGTCCTCCTTTTAAATATTTTAAATACTTGTTGCCAGAAGTCCACATTTTTCCACAGCCTTATTATTTGTAAACTACCAATAATTTATTTCTTCTTAAATAATTAAAAAGTTAATTCACTTTAAATTTTTATTTAAATTAAATTTCTCTTTTATTTTGTGTTTTAGTTTGTGCAGTTAAGAATTATATCTATCTATCTATCAGTTTCATTTTAATTATAACACAATAATGTTCCAACATCAGAGTCGCATGGCGCTTGCACTGACTTATGAACGATATATCGAACGACTCTGGAAGTTGGACTGGTATCGTATACCTTCTCGCCAGCACTGAGCGCCCGTATTGCCGATTGCTGTGCAAGAGGAGGCCAGTGCCGCTGTCGCTTCACGTTAAATGTTTATTCCCTATCTCTTAGCAGCCTGTAAACAATCCACTTTTTGTACTTCTGCCCCTCCCTTAGTTAGTATCCGATTATTGTAACCACTCACATATTTTATATCTGATATAAAATATGTGAGTTACACAACAGTTTTACTGCTATCTATCGGAAGGCTACAAAATTTGAGCCTTTCTTTAAGTCGTCTCTTACACCAGCAATAAGATGAAATGAGCTCATTCTTTCCTATTATAATTAACGAGTCATGTGATATTTCCATTCAATTAATGGAATTGCTGCTAATTGTATACATTTCATGCCAGAGCCACGCCGTAGCTATATTCTGGTTGTAGCACGAATGCGTCGGCTCGACCGGCGAAGGACCACGTTCTCACAGAATACCAGCGCAAAATAGCAGCTTAATACTACTGTGATTCGTATTGTACTGGCTTGCCTTCCTTACTTTTCTATCGCATCCTTCTTTCCAATTAACCGCAAAACAAAACTTATGGCGCCATCTGTTGGCCCAAACAAAAGCGTCTGTAAACGTCTGTAAGTCGACGCGATCGATACCGACATGTAATCGAGACTCAAGACGAACTGCATCGGTAATGGCTGTTCTTGTCTAAGCCTTCCAATATAAAAATCAATGTGAATAGCGTTAGTGAGTGCGCCGGGTCGACCCAGATGTGTGCATAGACTATATAATCACGTAGGAGTGTGGTCAAGGAAAAGTGAAGCCTTCCACATCCGAAGATACCGTTGAAGCCAAGTTGGAGTTGGTCGCCGCTGCCGCTAACCGTGAGTTTACCTATTCCATTGACCCTTCCTGGTGGGCCAGACTAATTTTCTCTCACTGTAGGTAAATTTTAAGTAGCAATTCCAAAAGAAGTTTCTAATTATTTTTATTTCAAGTAAGAAGTGTCGCGATTACTACTATAAAAAAGAAGTTCGAGCCGCGCATTTTTTTATTCTAACCTTTGATCACGTATGGTGTGGAGACCCGGAGACCCTTTTTTTACTGGAAACGAGGCATTTCATCGTAGTCGTCAGGGGTGACAATGCATCTACGTTTTGATTCTCAATCGAGGATAGATGCAGATGTCTATGGGCCACAGCATCCACTTACCATCAGGTCGACAGTGTGCTCGTATGCTACCCTTATTCAATAAAAAAAACATCATGTCACAAAAACCCTGCGATTCCCATTAAATGCGTTATCCGAATTAGTATTCAAATGTATTACTTCAGAAAGCTCGACCATAAATTATTAAGAAGTAAATTTAAATAATTTTTTATTTTAAAATTGTATGTGATTACATTATATGATGTATGAAGTGCATACTGTTGGTGGTTGCAGACTGGGTTCTCAGCGCGGGATCGAGGACGTGAAGTCGGTGGGGTTCTTCCGCGGCGTGGACTGGAGCCACGTGCGCGAGCGCCCCGCCGCCATCTCCGTGGACGTGCGCTCCATCGACGACACCTCCAACTTCGACGACTTCCCCGACGTCAAGCTCGAGATACGTGAGTTGTCGCCCAACAATATACTTTTACATCTTTTTTGAGATGCCCATAAAATTATTCATAAAACATGCTATACTTTATCACTCAAAATTCAAATTCAACTTCATTTATTCGTTTGCGACATGTGGATAAAAAATACCTTACTCTGTTTAATTTCTTTACCAGTTTTTTTAACCTATTAAAATTTTATTCAACGTGGTATTTCACATGGTAGAGCCATGCTACAGCTATATAATGGTTGTAGTACGAATGGATCGGCTCAACCAGGTAAAGACCACGCTCTCACAGAATACCAACGTAAAATATCACTTAATGCTGGTGTGTTTTATATGGTGAGTGAACCAGAGACCCTTTTTACTTGAAACGAGACATTCCATCTTAGTCCTCAAAGCTGGCACCGCATCTGCATGTAGATGTCTATGGGCCACAGCATCTACTTACAATCAGGTGAATTTGTGCCCGTTTGTCACTATTATTCTATAAAAAAAAATGTAAAAGTGCCCAATATAATACGTTTTCTTAATATAAAGCATTTTTTTATGTATTTAGAATAAACATTATAAATGAACACACAATCTACCTGAAGGTAATGAACGGACTATCCATAAACATCTACATTTATCCTAAAAACCAAACTACAGGTGCGTCTACTAAGATAGAATACTTCATTTCCTGTACGAATAGTCTCCATTTCTGCACACTCACTACACTTAATTCAGCAGCAACATTAAATTGTTATTTTAGGCAAGTTCTCTCTAAAAGCATCTATTCTTTTGAAGATATTGTTCAAATAAGCAATAACAAATAAAATAAATATACCACATTTTTATTCATATATTTTTTACTTTGTTCCGAGCATTGATTTTTTATTATACACCTTACAATACTGGATATAATTATAGACTTAATGCCTTATGGTATTTACCAATCAACCTCAATGAAAGAACTTGAAAGTTTGAACATATGGTTCTCTAACTCATCGCAAAGTTAGTTTAAAATCAATTATTACTAAATTCGACGCGAACGCACACGAGAGCAAATTAAAATCGTGGTGAAATACCTCAAAACAATAAATAAATATGGTGCAATGGATATTGACAAGCATATGCATGTTACAGCGGCTGCGCCCATCTCTCAGGAGGGCGAGGTGGCCTACAAGGACTGGGTGTTCATCAACTACACGTTCAAGCGCTTTGAGGGACTCACGCAGCGAGGCACTCCCACCAAGAAGTGAACTGATTCTGCGGACCTTCCGTAGCCCGTAGTGCTGCCGAACACTCGCACTCACACACTAGTACACCAGTAGTCTCACACGCCTCACACATTCATTACAGCCTATAAAACTCCACCACCGAATATACGAGGGAGGAATATAATATACGAGGAGTTCTTATAACTTTGAAATTTGAGGCAGTGGACCTTGTTACATCGCCGCTACACGGTCCGTACTCGCGCCTCGTTTAGATGTTAATGCACGTTTCGACGCGAACTCGCACTGTCTGTCCCCAGGGTAGGTGATAAATACAATCAGGTGTCACGCGTGTTGAAAAACATTATATTGAAGATGATATAAATTACTTAGTTAAGATCCGCGTAGCAAAATAAAATAAACTTGAACACTTCTAGGTAAGACATAAATCATTTTATTTTATTTTATTACGCGGATTACTATAATGGTTTATCTTTAACCTTTACCTGACGTTTTTTTTTGTAAAACAGCGTCTTTGTGTGAGAGCGAAATGATGCGTTGCGAGTGAGCCTTCCCGCCCGCCGTGCTTTACCCGCGCTATAATAAATTAAGCTAAACGGAATAAACATGATGACACATTAAAAGTTACACTTGGTCGACTAGAATGAAGCAACACGCCTTATTGCTGATTCTCTACTCATTGTTACATACTTCTGCCTTTGTCACGTAAAAATAATGCTGCCTCAATATTGTTTCTTTTTTTAAATTTATTCTTATATTGCATGTGTGAGTACATGACGAGACTAGAAGAAGTAATTAAATATTTGATCAATATTATTCTAAAGTCAACAATGTTTTTAATAAAGCTGTACAGAGCAGTCAACGAAACAATACAAGTGTGTATTTATGTGATTGTGCAAGATGCGATAATCGCGACAGACCACCCCACAGCAACAGTCAAACATTTACAATATATCACAAGTTTTCCTTCCGACTTTCTTCTTCCGTCGCAAATTGTTGTAGCTCTAAACTTGAACTCGGCCTCTACCACGAGTTTTTGCGAAATCGACTAGCTAACGAAGCTGTTTGTTTGTCGGAATGTAATCTCGTGCTGCCAGTGACCGCGGCGTCACTTCGGAGTGAGTGAGAGATTCTGTTAGAAAAGTGCAGAGATTAATATTTTTTTTTCTTAAATATTAGTTATATTTAATAAAAATAGATAAACCGAACTACGGATATTCCTTTATTTAGATTTAAAATAAGTTTACATGTGTAAAAAAATTAAAGAACGTGTGTGCATTCACAGGCAGTAGAATTGAAACCTTATTCATTTTTTATTAATAATAAGTTTATCATTAATTTTATTTCAAAAATTAATTTATTGAGATCAAGAGAATAGGAAACATTGTATACGGTATTTTGTCTCACTCTTACAGTCTTAAAGAAATGTTCACTTCAAAACGTGCAAACTCACGTGCTGTGCACACGTGCTGCTGGTGGAGTTACTATAAAGTTTATCTAAAAGTTGTCATATGAAAACGAAAGAAAAGATTTTACAAACACTCGTGGTACAGGAAGTTTTATCAGTTAAGCTGAACTTTTCTATAGTCTAAATTAAAGAAATATTTTTCGAAGCGTGGTTACCTCTGTTTATTGCAAAGAAATTATTTACATTTGACAGCAGCCGAGATGCTATTGTTTATGTATACACACCGTATTGTAATTATTGCTAGAAGTTAAAAGTAATGTTAAGATAAGTTAGCTGTGAACGTAACCATGTGTCTGTATAGAGTCGAGCGGGCAGCTTGCTCCCATCTACTACACCGTGGCCGTGTTCCGTGTTGTTCGTGGCCGACTGTGCTTGTAACGTTTAAATATTGTAATATATGTATGTTATCTTCTTTGTCCAATTATTTATGCTCGTTGTGTTTGATTTTAATGAATGTTTTTATCGAGGAATACGTATTTTTAATATAAGTAATGGACGAAAAGTGTTTGCCGAGTTTGATATGTGTGTGTTTATAGAGCTTGTTAAAATTGTGTCAGTAATTTGTACTGCAAGTGGCGGGTTAACACACACCTATGCAACATAATACTAAACATGTGTGTCAGTTTAGTTTGCTTGTTTGCTCACCGGCAGCACGGCAAACTGAACACAAAACTGTATCGCTCATGATCATTGTCACTGACGTCGTCTTATTCATCGATTATTAGTTTGAAGTCTCATTTCGCAGTTCGAATGCTTATCGGATGTTGTACACTTCGTCGATTACTAGTGGCAAATTGCAGAAAATTATAGAATCCCATCACGAAACACTGAAAAACCAACTGTAGCTTAAAGTATTAGGTTTTAAATGTTGAAGAAAGGACAAGGTAACAAGTACGTCAGGATATAGCTATGCTAACGGTAGTTTTAATTAAGATGGAACGTCAGAACTGCTTGTTTCAATTTACAACGTATTCTTACAGTGCACTCGCTTTGCCAGTCATATAATATATGAAGCGTGTTCGTATTTATGTACATAAATATATACATACATACACACACATATATATATATATATATATATATATATATATATATATATAATGTTTACGATGTTTAGCTGTTTTTTAATTACCTCTCATATAGGAATCCGTCCAGAAGTTAAGTTGTAACATATTGGATTGCTATTTTTCCCTATGTATATACGGAAAGATGCTATTTTCAAAGTGAGTTGAAATGAAATTTTTTAAATTGCATTCTTAAATATAGCTATCTGCATGTAATGGAGTAAAATAATTGGTATGAGAAAATATAGAAAGTTTGACAAACAAGCACTTCTGATGATTTACGATTAAATTAAACATTTTTAATGATTAATTTAAACATCAAAACGAAACGTTGCACATTGCTTTGTCGTTTTATAAAGAAGACGGTTTTTTTTAAATGTTTATATGATGACATCAGGGATTACGTATTAACTTCGTAACTTGCCTAGGCTTGTTGTTCTGCCGCGGGACTCCGCAGTGGAAATGTGTAAACAAGGTTGCATGGTAGTTGTTGCCGGTAGTGTAAGTACAGAGTTAGCGGTGACCAGTGCCGCGGCTCCGGCTCACCTGCAGAATGGGTCGCTCCTCCAGCCGCGAGTCTGTCGGCACGAACACAAGCCACATGCTCTGCTGTGCTGCCTGTTACATTTAGCTCCGATTTGTTCTTTTGATACAGTTTATTACTTTCCTTTCGCAGACGCTTTAAGGGTGAAATTAGGTTTCTGTGCGTTTCCGTAACAGCACAATACTTTTCTCGTCCCAAGGGTTACTGTTCAGTGTGTGAATCTTAATCCTCAGACCAAGTAAGAAAGATTTACAAACTCGTACGTACATTTCAAGTGACTTCGAAAGCAAGCCGAAGTTATGCTCCACTTATTGTAACAACAGGCACTCATGCATGCACACATGCTCTTAAAACCATGTTGTCGCTTGCGAATTACGTGTTTTCTGTTTTATTTTGTTAGTTTGACCATTATCCTTAACCCGATTTAAGTTCGGAATATAAGTAAGTTGAGTAAGGACCACAGAATATAAAATACAAGAGGAAGTAGCAAAATGCATTATTCGTACCAGAACCTGACTGTCGCCAAACGCACACATTCGCAAGAAAGAGATGTGTACCGACAATTGCGCACTATTTCAATAATTTTCGCGTGGTTGGCTGTTTAAAAAATAAAAGAGAAAGGCTTTATGTTACCATTCGCTTGAGTACGAACTATAAGTTCTTAAAAATTGAGATCATATTTCCTTTTCATCAAGGAAGTTTCTAGAATTAATTAGCACATTTAGTTTCTTAGATTATTTAAAAACGCACCATAAATTCTTATTTATAAATATCATTGTCTTAATCCAAGAAGCTTCCAGGATTGCAAAAGTTGCTATGTGACGCTAGATGTCGTAATAATAAATTCACGCTATTAATAGGCAAAACCTAAATAGACATAACTGACTTTGCTTACCTAACCTATACTGCTACATGAACGATGTTAGTGATATGACATATATTCAGTCAATATTAAAGTTTAGGAAAATGTATGAAAATGCCTTTGAAATTGTCTTAATGTACTACGTATATATCCGTAATTCGTATAGCCAGCATATAATTAGTTGTCTTCAAGGGAAATTTGTTAACAGTGACTTATAATAATCGTTCATTGTCATTTAAGTAACATGTATATGTTTCATAATTGTCGTTTTCACACTTTAATATTACATTTTAAACGATAATGAAGTCTATTACCTATATTGATCATGAGTAATACTTAATTTTTTGGCTTAGGAAACCTATCAAAAATGTTCATTTATAGCAAATTATAGAATACCAATTTATAATTTCGTATATTTTCATAGACATCTAGTACTTGCACATTATCACTAATATGTTAGTGGATAAACAGGACTGTGATAAAATTTTATTGAAGACATTACTATCGGCGTAGTAACAACACTATCCACATTAATTTTTATTCAAAATGTATTAACAGATGAACCTTAAAACAGTGGCGTAAGGTTGAATATTACATGTAATAAGGGCATTTTGCTATTTTGTTTACATTTAGTCACGTTTCTATACAAAAAAGGAAAAATTACACTTGCCATTTGTACCGAAACCTGCTTTCGTATTATTTTACTTTCGTTTTTATACTCCAATATTTCGCAAAACGGCATATTTTCGCATATCTCACTTAAGCCTCGCGGCAATTTGCGCCGACGACTGACCGTCAGTTACGCTCCACGGCCGGTAATTGTGACAGGCCTGTCTGCGCTTTGGGTTTCCTCTTCTTATTTTATACTCCGCGGTAAGGAGCACGGTAGTTCAGGGGAAAGGCGGTTACATTAATATTGAGTGCCGATTTAAAACATTCTGAGGAGATCTGCAGTTTGAGTAGTTAAAAATATATTGAGAATATGTAAATATTGTGAACACAATTATGGGCTAGCGCGACGGACTCTTCTCTCCTGCAAAATCTTCTCGGAAAAGCTGTGCAAACTATGTAGGCTTTGTTTATAAA